TCTGGTGCATTTCTAAAGATTAGCAAGAAACTGAGTAACGAGTAGCGTGGCTTCCAGGGGAATTCTCAGTGCCATGTTACATAGGAAACCATCGCTCGCTCTCAAACCAGTAACCGCTGAGAGTTAATACTGGATTTTCTTCTTTGGATCTGTACTGATCTGAAAAGAACTGGCAGGAACTCTGTATATTCACATTCTGCCCAAGAGAAATTCAGAGGGAAGGAAGCTATCGGTACATAGCAAGGGGAATGGTATCAAGCTTTAAGAAATAGTAGTTGGGCCTCATGGGGTCACAATTCCAACACACATGTGCGCAGTCACACAGAAGGGTTGAAGCTCTGTGGTCTGTCACAGAGCGCCGGGACGGGGCTGCTCTCGCGATCCGGGTGCCGGCAGCGCCTGCACTCCATGGGGCCTGAGGCACTTCCCGCTGCCACGAGCCCCCGCTCTCCTCCTTCCGTGCCCCTGCCTAATGCCACCCCAGTAACACGACCCTTCCTTTTGCTATTTGCATTTAACGCTCTGAAAATAGAGAGCCTCCCGGAGCTTAATCCAGCCTCCGCTGGAAACATTCCTGCCGCCCCAGGCGAGCGGCCGGCATCTCTGCGGGGGCCCCACGCTGTCTGCAGCGCCCCGGTGCCAGGGCAGCCTCCCTGCCCCGCGCTCCCACGGCACCAGCTCCTCTCCCTGAGGACGTCTCTGCGGTGAGCACAGGACCCACGAGGGGCTGGCGGCTCCTTCCCGACCTCTTCGGTCATTCACACGCATTCCTCAGGTTTTGCCAATGAGCTCTGCCGCTGTCAGCCTCCATTCATTGAAAACACGAAAGGTTTTATTTTATGTGCAGTTCTTTGGGCTTTAAGGATGGAAACGAGAATGTGGCCATCTCATCCCGTCTAAACGCAACCGTTCTTGGACCCCAGCTCCAAAGTATTTTATTCTGTGCTGCGATCCCTGCAGTTCTCACAGGCTAAAAAAGGTTAAGCCACTGCACAAGGTGCCTCCAAAGCATCCACGGCTGCTGTAATAAATGGGTCAGCAGGAGATTTACAGTTATATCAGTAATTTCCTCTGTAGATATATCCTCGATGTTTGTGAAAGCAACCAGCTGATAAATGGCTTAATAGTTTATCACACAGGTGGCTTATGGTTCACATTAAGTGCTTGTTTGAGGGAACAAAATAATCTACTGAGCATCACCGTATGTTTTAGGGAGGAAGATAAACATTGTTACAAGATTTGCTAAATGTATTTTCTTTTTATCTTACAGAACATTATGGAAAGGAGTCAGGATTTGATTCAGAAATATACAGAAGTGAGTAAATGACTGTTATTATTCCTTAGCAATCTGATTCCTTTTCTCTGAGCTATGGCTTTCCCTATTAGCCTGACTTTGTGTGAGAAGTGCAAGGCCCAGGTACAACTCTGAATACATCATCATCATCATCAGATGAAGGCTCGGGGAAGTCTCTTTATCATGTTGTATTTTGCTCTTATTTCACAGGATCTCTCCTGGCCAGAGAGGCAGATTTTGCCTTTTCACTGAAACCCTTATTCGCAAGGGAGAAGGAGCCGTTCACCCTTTCCTGTTACTTCTCGTCTGATCTCCTTGAACACCAGCGAGACATCAGCTGGTTCAGAGACGGTTCGTATGCCAAGCTAAGTTTACATGCAGCCAGGAACATACCCTTCCACCTCGCAGCTGTGGCAAAGCAACTTTTTTGTTTAGATTGCAAGCTCTCCATGGACCGTATTTTTGCTCTGTGTTTGTGCACAAATAAAACTCCATGACTACAACTCGGATGCAGAGTAACAGTATCAGGAGTGTCCTTAAGGTCCCCCCCTTTGCTCTGCATTTTATTCGCATCTGCAACACGCCACCCTGGCCCCACCGGTCAAGAGGAGGCTCCCCTACCCCTTCTCCTACTTCACAGGTGAGTTGCTGCAGGATTCCCCATGCCGGAAATTCCAGTACCAAGACCAGGAGGCTTCTCTGACAGTGTCGTGTGCTTACAAAGAAGATGAGGGCTTCTACAGCATTCGCGTCCCCACGCTGGATGGACACAAAGAACAGACTACTTACGTGTTCGTCAGAGGTACGAGCAAAAACCTAGAGCAAAAGTTCCTTCTCTGCTCCCTTGACATAAAGGAATTCACAACCTCATTCACAAGAAAATGTCTCCCAATTTTCTGCACAGGCAAAATGAGCAGAATGTTCAAATTCTAATTTCAGCTATGACTTAGGTACTAGAAAATATGACTTGTATTACTGGGGTAGTAATGCATTGCACACTTAAAAATAAGTTACTGTCTGAGTGAAATGATCAGTACGGAAAAGGAAAAACCGTAACCACTCTGGCTTGGTATTTATATAGATGCTGCAGCAGAAACAGCTGGTGCACCTGGATCCCCCCTCAATGTGAAATGCCACGATATAAATAAAGATTGCTTGATAGTCTCTTGGGTACCACCCAGTGATAACGGAGGAAGTCCAATCCTGGGATACTATGTCGAAAGGTCTGTATGTTTATCATCTTAGCGCAAGGCTTCTAACTACGTTGAAGGAAAAAAAGGACGCGGGAACAGCGTGGGCTGTATTTCATTGCAGGTGCGACGCCGGTTCGGAGGACTGGGTGCCCTGCAACGAGGCGCCGGTGCGAACCTGCCGGCTGCCTGTCCTGGGCCTCGCCGCGGGCCGCACGTACCGGTTCCGAGTGAAGGCTCTCAACAAAGCGGGCATCGGCCTTCCCTCCAAGAGCAGCGAGCCCGTGACAACCCACGACCCCAGCGAGAGCCGCAGGGTGACAGGTACGGGCCAGGCCCAGGAAGGGATCCCTGCCAGGGACGCTGTGAGGCTGCAGCTCGCACGCGCCACAGTCTGTCTAAATTCTCCTTTTTCCCACAAGACCAAAATACCCCAACGATGACATTCATTGTCTGTGTAAGGAAAGGTAGATAATAGTGTGTGTAATGAAATAACAGAGTTCTGGCTTCTCTCTTTGTATAAGCATCTTTGCTTTGGGCATAACATTGTCCCGTTTTACATTACAGTTATTCCATACGATGGTGGCAGGACGATAGAGATTTCCAAGGATGACTTAGAAGGTAAATTCAAATTTATATAGAGCCCTTCCTTTGGAAGGAAAGTGCTAAAACCTCATTTGCGAACATGAGCTAGGCAGTTAGTACCCTAGTCTCATTATATCAACGGAACTCAGATTTTTAAGTTGCTTTTAAAAATAAAAAATCCTTGTTTTGCAAGATTATAACTGAACTACTGAGCTGCGACTGAACTATATCTACAATATTCTGACTTCCTTTAGGACATATTAAAATTCCCTTGCCACCCACCAATGTTCACGCAAGCGAGGTCAGAGAAGATTACGTGGCCTTGGCTTGGGATGAACCAGATCCAAGAGGCAGAGAGCCACTGAATTACTACGTGGAAAAGGTAAGGAAATAATGCCGTAGAGAAGGGCAGTAGTAGTTGTTGTTCCTGAGACAGAACCTTGTACTTCGCAGATGACCTGCAGCACGGCTCAGTTCTTACTGAGTGTAACTAATTGCTGGTGGCTCTTTAGCGTGGCCTGTGCAAACGAGTTGTCACCGTTCCTAAGGGACAGTTTCCTCCCATCACGAAAGGCCAAGCCGAGCGTATTTCTTCCTGATAGCTCTGGCATAAAGCAGAAGGGAGGCAAAGAAGCTGAACCACCCTTCCCCCGAATGAGACCCCTTGAGAGGTCACTGCGTGGGGAAACCTGGGTTGCGTCTCCGACACTACTCACTGCAGTTTACTGGAGCTAAAATCCCAGCTCTGACATCAACTCAAGTGGGTTTGAAGCTTTCATGAGTTGTAAATCACCACCTTTTTCTTTACAGTCAATTGCAGGCAGCAACGCCTGGCAAATGGTTAATCTGGATATGCCAGTTAATTCCCCAAGATTTGCACTCTTTGATCTTGTTAAAGGAAAATCTTACTGTTTCCGCGTGCGCTCCGTTAACAAGTATGGGATCAGCGAGCCGTCACAGCCCAGCGAGCCCATAACTGCTGGAGCAAAACTGGGTAAGAACTTCATTAATATGTGCTACACTAATGACATGGAGAAGGAGACACACTATCAGCTGAACACATGGGCTCTCTCCCCCTTCTCCTTTAGACTTTACAGTTTATTACTACACGATGGTTGCTTTGATACCAGGAAATCTCTTAAAGCCTTAAATCCTTGCTTAATTACTTTGCAGTTGGTCAGTGAGCAGTGTACATCTATCCAAGCAATGATAGGGGAATTAGATTTAATAAAACAAGAAATCACTGAAGTGTTTACTGCAGATATATTGCAGTGTAAGAGCAAGGCCATGCAGGGCAGTGGTGGAAGGACTGAAGGGGCCCATTTGCTGGGGTTCGAGGCAAAACAGCAGTGTTCACTGGTAAAGGAAGAGATGGAAAGATTCATGCTCACGTTTTCTGTATGCAGAGAGATGAGCACTGGTTCCTTTTTTTTTTTTTTTTGCACATTTTCCCACATCACAGCTGCTCCAGGGCTCATTCAAACTCTTCAGATCTTCTCCGTATTTCTTCTTTTTTAGCTCCTCTGCCGCCTCCATCTCAGGTTTTAGCCTTCAGAGACACCAAGACATCTGTTGTTTTGCAATGGGATAAGTTAAAAGACGGGCTGGAGCCTCTTGGCTACTACATATATTGCCGGGAGAGCGGGACGGAGGAATGGCAAACGGTCAACAACAAGCCGGTGACATGTACCAAGTGAGTCGGCTCCTAAACCCCGCTGGCAGAACACAGGGTGCCAAGCTCGGATTCCTCTGCTAACGGCTGCAGTCATATTCCAGATAAAAGAACTTCCTTCCCTGCACATGCACAGGCACACACGCATGCGAGCACCATGTCCTACTTTTAGAATGAAATATTGTTCAAATACTCAGGCTTATTTTTATACCCAAAGCTGATGGCAAAATCTGAGTGTATTTTCATACACTGTCCGTGTGCAGAGGGGAGATGCCTTTTGGCATTACTAGAGCCACGTCCATTTTTTTTGCTTGTTTTCCAGAAGAGTAAATTGGTGCCACTCCCAAAAAGGATTTAGAAGATCCTGCTAGTTGCAGGATCAAATATCAGCCAGAAAAAGTCCATTTAAAATTCCCATTTATTCTGCTGCTAGAGCCAGCCAGCAGTGTGACAGCATCAGTATCTGATTCATGCTTCCCGACTGATTTAGTAGTGACTGTTTTCTGGAATTCAAGGCACTTTAATCTGAAATGGCAAATAATATAAGCAGTAACACCTCATTAAAACTGATAGGCTGTCTGTTCAAAAGGCTGTTTGCCTGCACTTCCAACAGCCAAGTGTAAATATACTGATTTTCTCCTAGATTTACTGTTCCTGGGCTGCAGCCTGGAAAAGAGTACGTGTTCTGTGTGAAAACCGTCAGTGAGGCCGGCCTGAGCGAGAGCTCACCAGAAACAGACCCCATCGTTGTGAGGCCAGCGATCGGTGAGTAACAAACGCTCACATGTACTCTCCAAAAAGTCCCCAAAACATGTGTGTCCTGCACTGCTATTATTAGACATAGTGGTAACAGTGCTGAGCAGCTAAGCAGTGCAAAGGGGAACTGATTCTCCCATTCCCTGCAGTTTCTGTCATCAATTTTACTTGTCAACAGTGGACATCATAGATAATTAGCAATTTGAATGAGCAGTGTGTTACGTCTTCAGTATTCAATCGGCACTAGGGCAACAGACCGTTTTCAGTGGGGTGTTTTCCTCATGTCTTGAAATCAGCATTGTGATTTTCTCTTGTGCAAACCCATCAGCAATTACACAGAATTACAAAAAAAAAAACCTCCAAATCTTCAGTGTTCTCCCTTATAGCAACCCACTGCTCTCACCTCTTCTGTCAAACTATAAAGCAACATGCAAAAAAAAAAAAAAGCCCTGAGACCTGTCCATGACTTTCCTTGTGATATCTGAATAGGAATCTGCTCAGTTGAGAATACTCCTGCCCTGAAAAAATGGTATTAAGGGGCCTTAACACAAACAGCATCGTATTTGACATGAACCCAGAGATTTTCTTGTCTCAGTTCCTGCAGTACCTACATCTCTTTTCCTGATCCCTCACCTCAAACCCGTCCTGAGCTAGATCCTGTTTTCTCTCTCACTTTGCTGTGCAGCTTGTCCATCTGCACCACGGGGGTTTGTCCTTCTGAACTGCGGGAAGACTGACATGACCATTGGCTGGAAACCCCCAAAGCGCAAAGGAGGAACAAAGATTTTGGGCTACTTTCTAGATCAGCACGATGCATCTGAACCAGACTGGCACGAAGTCAATATTCAACCAATTCCTCAACGAGTTTGCAAGGTTTTAATATAACACTATCCTTCTTCAGGCATAGTGCGAATCAGAAATAAAAAGGGATGAGCTGTTTTTCCCCTTTCAGCTTTTCTAAAACTCTTCATGCCATCACAAGACTCTATCTTGATGACTGCAATTACAAAGCAATTACCAAGCAAGGTTGCAGTAGTAACTGGTTGTGCTTCTGTCCCCAAAGGTGAGCAACCTCGAGGCAGGACACCTGTATGAATTCCGGGCTCGTGCCGTGAACATGGCTGGTGTTGGGAAAGTATCTGAGCCCAGTGACTTGTTCAAATGCGAGGAATGGACAATGCCAGAACCAGGTATGTCTGATCTAAAACAACAGCCAAAAAATATTGCCAGGTATATTAGTAAATCGCCCTACTCTTTTGTCAATCTGAGGGACTTCAGAAACCTACAGAAATTTAATAATGTTACAGGTGGATCCATGCACTATTTCAGCATCCAGGTACTTTTATAATATCCTTATTTTCAAAGAATGACGAATCTGGATCTAATATCCCAATATCTTTGCATATTACACCGAAAGAAACAACATTAAACCACTTGATGAATGCTCTTTCTGTAGATCATCTGGTGTTTAATTACCACAGATTCCTATGGACCTGCTAGGAAGTTGTTATCACAGAACTCCCAGCCTTCCAATCTAAGACTGAAATGGGGGGCACCCAGTTGTGTTTTTATGTTAATAAAATGTTTGCCTGCCTCCCCTTTGGTGAACAGGCCCTCCCTACGACGTGAGGAGCACTGAAGTAAAAGACACCTCCCTGATGCTCCACTGGGAAGCACCGTTGTACACAGGAGCGGGTCCGGTCACAGGGTATTACGTAGACGTGTGTGAAGAAGGGTCAGAGCAGTGGACGCAAATAAATAAGCAGCCCATAGCCAGCACTCACCTAAAGGTTTGTATGTGCAAACCCGGGATCCACGCGCTGCTTCTCCTTCAGACTGTGTGAATTCCTGTCAATGTTTCCCGCAGGTGTCAGACCTGGAGACGGGGAAATCCCTTATTTTCCGAGTAAGAGCACTGAACAAGGCTGGAATTGGTCCTCCCTCTCTCCCTTCAGATCCAGTGGTGGTAAAAACCAAACCCGGTATGAAAGCAAGAGTGATCAGATCATCCCTGCTAAAGAACATCTCCCAGTAAAAACATACATATAAATAGCATCTGTTTGTCTGCATCTAGATTTATTCATCAAAATTGTGTTTTTCCATATAGAAAATAAAAGGTTAAGTCAGAAATCCTCAGAAACTA